TGTCCACAGGTGTTCTGGTCCAGCTGTCCACAGGTGTTCTGGTCCAGCTGTCCACAGGTGTTCTGGTCCACTTGTCCACAGGTGTTCTGGTCCACCTGTCCACAGGTGTTCTGGTCCACCTGTCCACAGGAGTTCTGGTCCAGCTGGCTCAGGTTTTTAAGGGTTCTTTGAAGTTTTCCATGGCCTTGTTCTCTCCGGTCATTGTCCATTTAGTCCAGCTTGACTCACAGACTGACTGTGTGATCTGACACTGCAGCACCTTGATGTTGGAGTTCACCTCCAATCCCTGGAAGTTGTTTTGGACTCTTTGGTTTCCATTCATTTTATCCATCTCTTCAGTCTGTCATTAGTTGTCCTCTTGTGGACATGTCCAAGGAGGTTGTGTCCAGTCCTGTAGACCTTTAAACGTCTGAAAAATCTGTGCAGCTGTAATCAGAGGAGCATGCAGCAGCTTGCAGATGTTCTCATAGTCTTTAACTTTAACATGCTGCTCAGTCATTTCCTGTCTAAGCTCCACCAGAGACCACTGAGCACCGTCTGTCTTTTCTAGGTCTACCACCCTTTTTGTTAAAACCAGTTTCATTCCAAAATTGCGTATTATTCTGCTTCGTTGTTGTTGTTGTTGTTGTTGTTGTTGTTGTTGTTGTTGTTGTTGTTGTGTATAATTAGAACACTACTGGATGCCTCAAATTTCCCCCTGGGATTAAGAAAGTGTCTGTCTGTTTTTATAGTAATATTCTAGTGTACCAAAATAAAAAAAGACAGGTTTTCATCTAAAAAAAAGTTAAATCTGGTCCTCTGGACATTCAAAAAACAACAAAACAAAGCAAAACAACAAAAAATGTAGAAACGTTTCGTCTCTCATCCTGAGGACTTCCTCAGTCTGAGGTGCTGTATTCAGCTCAGTCTCTTAAATAGCACCTTCTCAGAGTGGATCAACCAGTTTGCTGCTGACAACCAGAACCAGCTGATCACATGCTCAAGAAGGACCATCAGCCTAACAATGGATCATTAGCACCTGATGGCTGTTTACTGTTCACAGAGGGTTGAGTGATACTAGCAATCACAGCATTGTAAGAGGGGGACAGTTGAACCCGGAGGCCTCCACCCCTGTTTAATGATGGACGGTTTCTTTTCACAAAGATGGCCTCCTTTACTCCTCTCTCAAACCATCGTTCCTCTCTGTCCAGGATGTGAACATCTTCATCCCTGAAAGAGTGACCTCTGGCCTGGAGATGAGTGTAGACCTCAGAGTCCTGGCCTGATGATGTTGATCTTCTGTGCTGGTCCATCCTTTTGGCCAGTGGTTGTTTAGTTTCCCTGATGTAAGACTGATCACCCTCCTGACACTGAACAACATACACAATATTACTCTGTTTGTGTCGGGGGACTGGATCTTTGGGATGAACCAGTCTTTAATGTATTTTGGGGTTTAAAAGCCACTGGGACGTTATGTTTAGAAAATAAACGTCTCAGTTTCTCTGATACCCCCTCAACATCTGGAATGACCACTGGTCTGGGTCTGGGTTCCTCCTTTTCACCTGATGGCTGACTGGAGTCCTGTTTGGGTTTCTTCTCTGCTTTCAGGAAGGCCCAGTTAGGATATCCACATTGCTCTAGAGCCTGTCTTGTGTGGGATTTCTCCTTCTGCCTGGCTCCTGAGCTAGTGGGGACGCTGTCTGCTTTGTGGTACAGAGTCCTGATGACTCCTAACTTGTGCTCCAAAGGGTGATGGGAGTCAAACTGCAAATACTGGTCTGTGTGGGTGGGTTTGCGGTACACCTCGGTTTGCAAATGTCCTCTATCAGAGACTGAGACCTCACAGTCCAAGAAAGCCAACCTGCCATTTTTTACATCTTCTCGTGTGAACTTGATGTATTTATCCACAGAGTTGATGTGGTCAGTAAAATGTTGGTCTTCCTGAGATTTGATTTTAACCCAGGTGTCGTCAACATACCTGAACCAATGACTTGGTGGTGTCCCTGAAAAGGACGTCAAGGCTCTCTTTTCTACCTCCTCCATGTACAGGTTGGCAACAATAGGAGAAACTGGAGACCCCATAGCACACCCATGTTTCTGCCTATAATATTGCTCCCCATATGTGAAGTAGGTTGACTGCAGGCACAGTTTCAAGAGTTGACACAGTTGTTCTGTGGAAAGTGTGGTCCTGCTGCTCAGAGTGGTGTCTGATTTTAATTTTAAACTGACCACCTCTACTGCATCATCAACAGGAATGCACGTAAAGAGTGATGTGACATCAAAAGAGACCATTGTTTCATCAGTCTCCATGATGACATCCCTCACCTTGTCCACAAAGTCCATGGTGTTCTGTATGTGGTGTTCTGAGCTGCCAACTAAAGGGATGAGTACAGACGCCAGATATTTGGAAACATTGTAAGTGACAGAGTTAATCATGCTAACAATAGGTCTTAAAGGTACACCTTGTTTGTGGATTTTAGGTAAACCATACAGACTAGGTGTGGCCTCCCCTGGGTACAGTCTGTGGTACAGAAAACGGTCAATAGCCTTGTCCTGCTCCAAAATTTTCAGGCAATCTATTAACTTCTTCTTGTAACCACTTCCTGGATCTCTTTTCAGAGGTTCATAAGTGTTTAAGTCACTAAGGAGTGTCATAACTTTCTCATGATAGTCTTTCTGGTTCAAAATCACTGTGCACCTTCCTTTGTCTGCTGGGAGAATGATGATGTTTTTGTCCTTGCTAAGAGTGGTGAGTGCATCCCTCTCCTCTCTACTGATGTTGGAAGGTGGTGGTTTGGCATTGCTGAGGCAGGATGAAACTTTGATTCTGAGCTGTTCTGCTTCAGCCTCTTTAATTTTGTTGTTGCGGATGGCTGATTCTGTGGCTGTGATCATCTCCACCAGAGGAATTTTACTTGGTGCAACCACAAAGTTCAGTCCCCTGGCAAGAATCTCTGTCTCCGGCTGGGTGAGCTGTCTGTCAGGTAAATTCTTCACCCACTTTTCTGTCTCCCTGACATGTAACTGTCTACTGGAGTGTTGTCCTACACTGAATGTGTTGTTATTGGAATAGTGATGGTGTTGATGAGTTATTAGTAAGTTAAACTTGTTATGAGTCTGAGCTGAATACAGCACCTCACACTGAAGAAGTCTCTCGGATGAAAGACGAAACGTTTCTACATATTTTTGTTGTTGTTTTGCTTTGTTTTGTTTTTTGAATGTCCAGAGGGCCAGATTAAACTTTTTTAGATTTTTCTGCCTGGATTATTGAGCATGCATCAGGATGACTGATTTTCATGTTTTTTGATTTTTACTAAAATACTTAGTTTCAAGTTATTTCAGTGACATTTGTGGGTTTTTATTTCTTAAACCAAAAAGTAAAACCAAGCCTGTCCACACCTGCGGTTAATAAAAATATAAACTTCAGGTGTAGATGACATCTGGTGATTATTAAAGTGCATTTGGCTGAAATTCTGTAGCTTAAAGCTAAAGCTTTTGGCAATTTTCATTTTTGTTTTGTTTTTATGTTGTCTTGAGTCAGAAGGCCTTGATGGTGTGTTCAGGACCTGGTGGATCAGCAGTTTGGGTTGAATGTGTTCATGCTGGTTCTGGTCCAGGTGTCTGATTTAACTGTCTCTGTGTCCACAGACCTTTCTGGAGCAGACAAAGACCCGGTTCAGTAAGAATTACAAGGGGATGAGTTTATCAAAGATCACAACAACAGTCGGTCTGAACAGTGAGTTTCACCTTGGTGTCTTTGGGTGAGGGAGCCGGGTTTTATTGAACTCCCTCAGTGTTTCCCCCTCCATTATCCAAACAGGGCGGCCTGCCTGGCCAACAGGACCCCCCTGCCCACCCCTGCCACAAAGATCACAGCGTGTAAAGAAATTTATAAACGTCCACACGTTTGCACGTTTCCAATTCTGTGCAGCGGGGAAGACACCAAATGTCCAAACGCTCAAAGCTCTTTACAATCTGTGCCTCATGTACCCATTCATACAGCTCTATACTAGATCTATAGAAAGATAATTGAACAAACCATTCTAGAGACGAATCAGAACTTTAGATCACATTCATACACCAATGGGACACATCTGAGGCAAGGAGGGGTTCAATGTCTTGCCCATGGACATTTCAACATGTGACCGCTTGTGGATTCAAACCCCCAACTCTTTCATTGGAGGACAACTGCTCTAACCACTCATCCACAGCCGCACATTATTTAAATAGTATTAAATAACTTCATGAGCTGAAATGTTATAAATACTGTATAATCCCTTTGAACGAAAGAGAATCAGTAGTCATATTGGGGGGGGGGGGGGGGGATTCTTGTCAATCTGGCAAATTAAAATAACATTTTTTTTTTTGTTAATTTATACTCTGCAAAGGACTTCTTGTGCTATAATTTTTAAAATATACCTGACAACATACTACTGTGTACTTTTACTAAGGTCATGCACATATTATACCACATTAGATTGTGTACTTTTACTAAGGTCGTATACACACTATACCACACTATAATGTGTAATTTTACTAAGGTCATGTACACAGTATACCGCACTATAATGTGTAATTTTACTAAGGTCATGTACACACTATACCACACTATGTGTAATTTTACTAAGGTCATGTACACAGTATATGCCGTAACATGAAAATCTTTGGGAAGTGACCTGTATGCAGGAAAAGGCTCTCGAATGTGTGGGATTGGTGTGTACTGTATTTGTGTGGTGGTGGTGGTGTGTGTGTGTGTGTGTGGGGGGGGGGGTAGTTTATGATAACTGGGTATTAATTTATTCATTCATTTAAAAGAAACAAAACAAATTCATCAATGAGAAAAAACATTGTATGAAAAGGGTGCTGAAAGAAGAAGAAAATTCTTATGATAATAATAATTATTATTATAATAATAATAATAATAATTAAAGCTGCAAGCAGCATTGAAGGCCCTCGCAGCAAAGCGCCGCTCCGGCCTTACGGCGATCGCGGGAGCTCCAGTGACTCCGCCCAGTCGCCATAGCGAATGATCTCTCTCTCATCCCACGCCCGTTCACCGGGGTGCGCATTCGCCGAACCTTCGACATCACCTGCGACCGCTGGCGCTCCAGCAACTCCTCCCAGTTGCTGTTGCGAATGCTCTCATGCCATTCCTGCACGCGTCCACCAGGGTGCGCACTGAGATATAACTGTAAGAATAATATAGGTTGTGCTTTGGAGGCTATTGACCACTTATCATGGATTCCTTTTCAAGGGGTGGATAATGATCGATCATACTGATTTTCGTGCACCTCCCTCGGTTCAGATCTGTGGAATTTATAGCCAAACATATTGCAACGGCATCACTTCTTAATTCGTCAAGCCGCCACGCCCACATCCGACTTCAAAAACTGTTTGTAATTTAAAGTGAGTCAGACCAACTTGTTGTATGTCTTCTATTACAGGATCATCCTGATTAGGTGTCAAGGGTGTGAGAGAGGGAGCATTCCAAATTAAAAAAGTGACTTCCTGTTCTGAGGAGGCGGGGCTTTGATGACATCAGAATATGACCACAGTGGATCGTTGGGCATCAACAGGGATGACTCATGCCAAGTTTGATGTGTTTTGCTCTTTCACTGTGAAAGTTACAGCATTTGGAAATTTTTGGAGTGAAGAGCAACTTTCAGGCCTGGCCACGCCCCTTTAACGTACGAAAATGCAAGCTTTTGATAACTGTTACTCCCCGATGTGTTAAGGGCATATTAACCAAGTTTGAAGGCAATCCTTCAAAGTCCCTAGGAGGAGTTCGTTAAAATTTGCAATTAGAAACACCCCAAAATGACCATTTGACACAAAATGGCTGACTTCCTGTTGGTTTTGGACCAGGGCTCCAAGAGACTTTTCATAGGTCCTTAGAAGATACAGATGTTCACCAAGTTTCAGAATTATCGGTCCAAAAATGGCTTGGGGCTGAGGTTTTAAAATATTCTAGGGGGCGCTGTGGAAGCTATTGGCCAATTCTCATGGATTCCTGTTCAAGGGGTGGATAATGATCGATCACACTGATTTTGGTGCATCTCTCTTCAAATCTCTGGAATTTAGAGCCAAACGTATGGCGACGGCGTTACGTCTTACTTCGCCACGTCACGACGCCCACATGCTCCAGCCAAAACTGTCAGTGTTGGAAAGCAAGTTACACCAGCATGTCTTCGGTCACTGGACACACTGTCATGCTGATCAGGTGACAGGGGTCAGATAGGGACCGTTAAACGTAAAACTTTACACTTCTTGTTGTCAGGGGGCGTGGCTTAAGTGATTTCATGATTTGACCATTCAGTCTTGCAGGGGACCAGATGTGGATCAATCACTGAGGTTTGATGTCGGTTTTCATGTAGGAGCTACTAGTGTTTCGTTTTTCATGGCTAGACGTCAAACTTTCAGGTCTGGCCCCGCCCCTTCAGCATGCTCCGAAACAAACCTTTTAGATAACTTTTCATCCGCCATGCCTTTTGAACCAACTGGCCAAGTTTGAAACTGATTGAGCAAAATCCCTAGGCTGAGTTCGTTCAAATGCGGAGGCTGTAAACCTTCAAAAAGGTGTGAAATTTGGGACGGCATTCCAAAATGGCTTCCTTCCTGTTTATCATACAACGTTGTTGCCAGAGGGTTTTCTGTGCATCTTGGGGAATTGGACACGTGTACCAAATGTCATGCTTCTATGACAAACTAAGATTAATGCTAAGGGTATTTTGAAAATTTCTAGGTGGCGCTCTTGAGCCGTTTCTGTTGCGATTTTTGCAACGCCCTTAAAATACGTAATTTTTCAGCAGTCCTGATATGTCCGCCAAATTTGAGTTTCGGGATATGTTAAGGCCCCAAAACGCCAATTCATTTGCCAAAAAAATTGCAGCTCGGGCCTGAACAGAGCGATTACAATAGGCCTTCGCAGCGCTTCGCTGCTCGGGCCTAATAATAATAATGGGTAACCTCTAAGTGTAGAAAATTTCAGTCAAAATATTTTTTTCTGATTGGTGCAGGGGTGTGGTTGTGAGATGAAGTAGTCATGCTTTGCCAGTGCTCCGATTAAAACTTTTATCTCTTAGCACTACCAAGCCCTCCGTATTTACTTTTATGCCGAGTATCCCACACCTAACCAGTGCGTAGAATATAAGGACGTTATGGCTTCACTGTACTCTCTGGGTTTGAAGCCCGCTTTGCTTTTTCCTGCCCGACTCCGTGTGACTTTACCTGATGGGCACGGAAGGTGGCTGGGCTCTGTGGAGGAGGTGCAGAAATACATGGACATCTAACCTCAGGCTTCATAGCGCAAGTAACATTTAACTTTTCTTTTGACTGATGAGCAACGCGCTGTTTCCGCACTGGCTTTGTTTATAAACTTTAGTTTACTTGAGGTGACGCAGATGAACGCAGGACTCTACCTGATTAACACTTTTTTTTGGTTTGCGTTGCCTTAAAAGAGTGCGGCTTTTTGTTTTGCATTTACACGCACACAAATAGTTGAAGCATTCATATGATATAAACTACATATCACAAAATATTAAAATGTGTGATACATATAACATTTCAATCTATTCTCTTGAATCGGTGTATTTGTATCACTCATAAAACGAGTATGGTAGTTCCTGCAGAACCTGACACATTTTGTTTCCGATTACTCGATTAATCAGCAGAATAATCTATAGATTTCTGAGATGGACATCTGTCAGTCTGACAAACATAAATTGCATTTTTTTAATTATTTTGTACTGTGCTAATTACTACGTGTGCTACAGTGTTTAAAGCATCACCCTCATGAATTTAACAGTTCAGTGAAGGTAAAAACACGTCTTTATTGCTACTTTAGTAGTTCTGTAACTGTAATCACATTTTCACTTGTAAATATCACACTATTTTAAAAACGTACAAATAATATTAATACGTGAATTTTCTTGTCACTAGAAGTATTTGAACCATAAAAACATCATGCCTGTAACTATACCAGTAAACGAGACAGATTTAACAGAATCAAAGGAAAACTTTTTTTATTTCTTTGTTTTATTGTTTTCTGAATTAATCTTTCAAAAACGTTGAAATTCACTTCTACATCGAAGTTCTTTGAGCCCTAAAGAAAACTCTCAAGTGAGAGGCTGTACACTTAGTCCATAAACCGTCCAGCTAGTAATGCTCGTGTCACTGAAAGCAAATGACACACACACACACACACACACACACACACACACACACACACACACACACACACACACACACTCTCCCAAGGCCAGAAGCTTAGGGGAAACACTGCTGCTGAATTCTTCCTGCAGTAAACGGTTCTGAATGGGTTCTAATGGATCTCTGTTCTTCCTTCACAGTCGGTACCATCGATGTAGGCAAAGCTCGTCTCATGTTCTGGGACCTGGGAGGTCAGGATGAGCTGCAGTCTCTGTGGGACAAAGTGAGGAAACATGCTGTATCAATTGTTTAATGATTGCCTGGACACAAGTTAGAAAACAGAACTTTTTATTTTTGACATGACTACATATGCTCCTGTTCTCCTTCTTTTCTTCTGTTTTTTACTGTAAGCTCAGTAAACATGACATAAGAAACAATCAACAGTGTGCGTATCATCGCTTCACCTCACTGGATTCATCAACATCACAGAATATATCCTCATTTGTAAGGCGTTGAGGGAAGAACCTCCTTGTGTGATGAACGTCTTCAAGCTGGATCTGTTCAGTTCTTAGAGCTTATTGGTGAATTTTCACATGAGAACTTTCACGTTTGAGCAAATGATTGATGCGTAGCTGGATGGGCTTTGAAATGACAGGAAAGTTGGGGTGCCATGTTAAAATTCAAGATGGCTGCCACCATATCTATATTTTGATCATTGTAAATAAATAAATATTGATAGATATAGATGGATGGGTAGATATTTAAACTGACCACCCCTATAATTTGAGAATCTAGGCTTTCTATTGCGTAAAAGTATAATTTCATCAAATTATCAGGGTGGCTGAAGATTAAGCCAGGGGGTGGCCAAGGCCACCACTGGCCACCCCCTGGCACCTCCACTGCACCTGGTGGTGGATCAAGTGTTTCCCTCCGTTCACCACGGTCCTTCATTCTGTGCTTCCTCGAACAAAAATCCTCCCTCTGTTCTTCAGCGCACTGACTCTTAACCACTTTCATATATTTGCACCAAAAACATGTAGGTTTACTTTCATTCTCTGTTCAGCTCCAGTCCAGAAAAAAAACACTCGTCTCAGAAACTACAAACATTCACTGTTCAACCCCTCGGAGACGGGACAGTGGTGTTCCACTTGTTTTAAAGTAAATGTGCTTGTGATGCTGAATGTTTTTCTTTGTTCAGTATTGTTTTTAACCTCCTAGGACCTGACGTCCACATACAGTGTGCAAGACTTGGGGTCTTAGGAGGTTAAGTTTGAGCGCTTGATGTTCGCTCGTAGGTTAGCTGAGGCTGTTCAGACTAGTTAAATGCTAACTCTTGTAGCTTGCTGTAAACTTTAGTTTTTAACCAGTAACATTAGAAAATGATGGTGCATGGTTTTATTTTACTTAAATGTTTTCCCAAGTTGTGTTGCTAGTTGTAGTTTCCACCTTCTCCACCCTTTGTGTTACATGTGGTAACCGTGAGAAGACTTTTCTCTTCCTTGAGCCTGGGACTTATAATATTCAGTTTTTATTTAGTACTACGCCGAGTCCCACGGAGTCATCTATGTGATCGATTCAACCGACGAAGACCGTCTGTCAGAATCGAAGGAGGCCTTTGGTGTGTTCCGTTCCTGTTTTTATTTTAATACATTTATATTCTTTATATTTGTGGCTGAATGAAAGCTGGTTCTGTTGCAGAGAAGATGATCAGCAGCGAAGCGTTGGAAGGCGTTCCACTCCTGGTTCTGGCCAACAAGCAGGATGTTCCGGTACTACACTATTTACTATACTTGGTTCTAAAAGTACTCAGTAAGCCTCAGTTTCACCATTTGTTAGAGTCAAGTCAATTAAAAACACACATTCATTTTTTCATCTTCACTATCGAAAAACAAATGTCACATTCTGGTTTTAGGTTGACGCTCTTTGTTTTGTTCTGTTTGTTTTTCTGTTTTTACTGATTAAAGTTAAATGATGTTGAAAGAAAAGTGGGGTGGTGGTAGCTCAGCGGTCGGCGCTGCTGTTTTGTGACCCTGAGGCTGCAGGTTTGAGCCCAGTTGTGTCAGGAAGGACATGTGGTGTACAACGGTTTCAGATCTGCCACGTCAGTTCACTGGTTAGGACGATCCTGCAGAAGAGAGCAGCCGAGAGAAGGAAGCCTGAAAGGAACGCTTCCAGCTGTGTCTCTACAGTCCCAGTAAACTGCTGATGCTCTGTGGTCTTGATCTTCCTGCTGGTTCTGACTAGGGCCGAACATTTAATTTAATTCGCAATAATATCGCAAAACGATAAAACAAGATTTTCTAATCGCAAAGGCTGCGGTTTGACAGGTCACGTGATCTGGTTACATGACTTGTGAGTGGAGCAAAGCAAGGAGCAGAAGTCAACGCTGCGCTTTAACCAGTTGCACGATGGCGTCGGGCTCGACAGAAGCTGACGCATCTGAAAGTTTGGTACCAAAGAGGAGCAGCACGTCCGTTGTTGGGAATTATTTTGGCTGTAAAGAAGACGCTGCGCAGCGACACGAGTTGTGCAGAACCTGCCTTGCTGCTGTTGCTACCTCTCGAGGGAACACCACGAATCTTTATCAGCACTTAAAAAAACACCACGAAGACATTTACGATAGTTGCATGACTAGAACGACCTGTGCTTCGACTTGAAGTGAGCGAAGTAGCAGCCGACAGGGATCACTGACCGAACTGTTCGAAGGAATTCCTCCGTATGAACATAAATCGAAACGGCACGCGGAAATAATTTGAGCAGTAACGGAGTTCATAGTGAAAGACATGATGCCCATTAATATAGTGACACGCCTGGGTTTACAGCTTTGGTAAACACAATGGATAAGCGGTACAGAACGCCCTCGTGCACACATTTTAGCCATGTGACTGTCCCGGAGCTATAAAAAACTGCAGAAACTGAGTTGCAGTGGAGCTGAAAACAGTGGAGTTTATTGCATCTGAAACGGATTTATTGCTTGTTTGGTGAAAAATACATGAGAAGAAGACATTGAAAAGTAATTGCATATTAAATCACAATAAGGATATTTTCCAAATGGTTCTGACAGGTTTTCTGTTTGCTGTGTCAAGTGTCCCGGCCCCTTCATAGGTTTTGTTACGGTGTTTGATGCGGTGTCTCCTCTGCTTTCAGAACTGTTTGTCAGTCCCGGACATTAAAACAGCCTTTAGTGACTGCGCACCAAAGATCGGCAAAAGAGACTGTTTGGTCCAGCCCTGTACCGCCCTAACGGGGTAAGACTGTCTGTTTCGTCACTGTCGAATCATTCTGAAATGTACCGTTCTTACGGCTGGGCGATATGGACCAAAATTAATATCGCAATTTTATTTTTTTTGACAAAAATCGCGATATACGATATACATCTCGATATTTTTTCTTTCCATAAAGTAATAACAAAAATAGATTTGAGTCAAAGTTTTGTCCCAATTGTCACACAGGCACATTTATTAACAACAACTGTAACTGTACAAAATAAATGCCTAAAAAAATGTACATATATTAAATAGTTTATTTTTTAGACATCTAGTTACATATATTAAATAATAATCCTCTTCAACTGGGGGCAGCTGTGGCTGAGAGCTTAGAGCAGTCGTCCTCCAATGGGAGAGTTGGGGGTTCGATTCCACCAGCAGTCACATGCTGAAGTGTCCCTGGGCAAGACACTGAACCCCTCGTTGCCTCTGATGTGTGTCCCGTTGGTGCTTGAATGTGATAAAGCTCTGATGAGTCTTTGTACAGATCTAGTATAGAGCTGTTTGAATGGGTCCATGAGGCACAGATTGTTGTAAAGAGCTTTGAGTAACTTGATAAGATAGAAAGATGCTGTACAAGTACAGTCCATCCAGCTGCGCCACCTTCATGTTAGTCAGCGTATGTAAACTGGTAGAGAGCCCCCACTTGGAACCTTGAAGCTGCAGGTCCGACAGACCCGTCTCCTAAACCACGGTTCAGAGCTCGTTTAGCCGTGCTGTGCCTTTTAGAGTTGATCACATCGCTAAAGATACGGTCCTTAGCGGCTAACAAGACGGCTAAAGCGTTAAGGAAAATGTTGGTCAGTGGCAGGAAACTACCAAGAGATGGCAGGAAGTCTTTCAAAATAAAACATTAAACTATAAATTGTGAAAATTATGAAAAAAAGTGTAAATAAAACACCTGCATATAAACTGCAGGGTGCAAAGTGTGAGACAAAAGTAAAGACTTATATAATTACAGTGTATGTCTATAAACTGCCCACCACAATCATGGGAGGAAACTGTTTTCTAGTTTTATATTACTTAAATGTATAATTTCTCAAATGATTGGGATGGCTGAAGATTTATCCTAGGGGGGCAAGGCCACCATTGGCCACCCCCTGGCTCCTCCATTGCACCTGGTGGTGGATAAAATGTCTCGCTCCACTCCAGGATTCACCACTCTGCGCTGCCTCAGACAAAACTAAACCCTAAGTGTAACTTCTACTCACCTGAATATTTTACACTAAAAGCTAGGGGTGTAACGTTACGCTAAAATCACATTTCGGCGCGGGTCGGTTAATTTTCGGTACAAAAAAGGCCAAAATAAAGACTTGCAAAATGTTTATTTAGAAAATATGCCAAGTAAACAAGTTCAGTCATTGCAGACTTCTTAACTGGAGGTGATCTGGTGGATGAAGAAGACTCAGCTGTTCGTTCTCAGACTGCAAACAACACAAATAAAATAAAAAAATTGAGTGAATAATATTCTCACAGCACAGCTGAAGTGTCTCAGGTTCTGCAGGAAGCGTTTAGAAGAACGCGTGTTAACTTTGAAACCCACTGACTCTTTGTGTTTGTTCTGCTGCAGGGACGGAGTGAACGACGGCATCGAGTGGATGGTGAAGTGTGTGGTCCGGAACATTCACCGGCCGCCTAGGCAGAAGGACATTACCTAAAACCTCCTGGTTCTGACCGTGGGCTGAGAACGCTCGAACAACCCGTTCTGTGTTTGGACTGCTTCTGATTTTATTCCAGTTTCATGAGGGGAGCGGCTGATCCAGGTTCTGCTGCTAGCTGAGTTTGAGAAGCTGACCAGAACCTTGGCTCCTGGCTCACATTTGTCCCGTTCCTCCATACTTAGTTAAAATTCAACATTTAATCAAACGCTTGGACCCTCCAAGGTCTAAATCTCATCAAGTTGCATTCCTTTCATTCCCTTGGGTTCTGTTCTGAGACGGTTCTGTCTTGATGGGTCACATCATGTTGGTTCTACCCTTCAACATCCAGACCTTCTGAGAAGATGGATCTCCGCTGGTACTGACCTTTCTTTAGAAATCAGGGGACAGTGGTCCATCAAACCAGTCGGGTTGTTCAGGTCTACAGGTGTGATGAACAGACCCCACCGTACGTGATGTTATATTTGGGGTGTATGAGCAGATCAGAGGACACACCTGGGGGCTCAGTTCAGCTCGGCGTGGGTCACTACATCTAAAATCTGTGGTTTAATTTCTGTATGAAACTGTTCAATGAGCTGTTTGGACGATTATTTAATAAACTCTTGTCAGATGTGAGCGTGCTGGAGCTCCTCTGGGGCCTCTTGTATCAAACTGTCGTCAGTTTTCCTCCTGAAAGTTTTTATTTCTCTCTTTCGGCTGCTCCCTTCTTCAGGGTCTCCACAGTGAACTGACTCTCACGAGGACTTGGAAGTCATTTTTACGCCGGATGTTCTTCTGACACAACCACAGACCGCTGAGCTACCACAGCCGTCTGCGTGGAGCAGGGAGCTGGTGTCTAGGGCACCCGGGGGAGCAGAAGATGGAGGTGGAAGGCCTTGCTCAAGGGCCCAGAGTGGGGCAGCATGGAGACAGGTGTGGGTGCTTCACCTTTCCTTCCTACATCTGAACGAACCGAGCGCACGTGAGACTCCACCCCTGACCTTTTAGTTTATTTAACGGGTGTGAGCGCATGCGATATTCCAAAAAGCCTCATTGAGGATCATCGAGTCCCAGCCGGTGGACTTGTCTTCTCTCTGGATCAATTGTTTTTTATTGGTGCATTACTAATCACTGAAAGCAGATTTTATTTGTGGTACCACCAGAGGAGCCTGAACCAGAAGACTTTATTTGTGGCACCACCAGAGGAGCCTGAACCAGAATCACCTCATGGATTATGTGAAGATGTCAGGGGTGACCTCTGGCTGCAGACCTGACAGAACACTTGCTGCTGGAGATGTGAGTTGCCTTAACGTTGCTCAGCAGCAGCTGTAGAAGAAAGCATGAGTGATCTGGACCACAGGAGCAGGTGCACAGTCAGAACACGTGTGTCACCATATAAAGGTCCTGAAATGGTTGAGCAAAGAGTTGACTAGGAGTTCTTCACTCCATCCAGCAGCTCGGTCTGCGTGGACTTGTGTTTAAGAGGAATAAAGATGGAGAAAAGTCCCTCCAGGTGTGGAGTTGGTGCTGTTCTTCATCAGTACCAGGTTCTTCATCTCTCATGACCTCAGGGTGTAGTGTTGCCTGAGCTAAAGTTATGACTCAGGTCTGCTGATGTTCCCTAAATTAAAACATTCAAAAAGACAATAAATTATGACAAAAACTACGAGAAGCCCTGCAGATCTTCTTGAAGCTGTCAGAAAATAACTGAAAATATGACTGATGAACTTTTGGAGTCGGGTGAAGTTCCAGATGAACGTTGTCCAACACAGCAGAGCCTCCATTTCAGACACTCCTCACATGTTGACATCTGGCTGGGTGGAGGTGCACCGGAGTCGTTTACAACACAAACTCCAAGCAGTGACCAGTCATGAACATACGGTTATTTACAAGTTCTCACCAAAATGGCTACGACTTCATCCCTTCTCAACATGAGATGATTTCAAAATCTGGTGTAGGAGTCATCACAGAGCTGCAGCCCAGATCCTGATGATCACAGTTTTAATTTAATTTGGAGAAACAGGTGCTGTTGTATTAGAAGAGCTGATGTAGTTCAGTCTTTAGAGGAAGGGGGTTAAATATGATCCAGTGAAGGAACCATCAAACTCAAATGGTTGCAACATTTCATAAAAAACTTTGAAAGCTTTTGGTATATTTTTCCTCGTAAGATTTTTGAAGAGTTAGGTGGGATTCATTTTTTGTTCAGTTGCGACTTTGAAATTTCTAAATTACTGATAAAATGACCAGACTTTCATAAACAGGTTCTTCAATATTGGAAACTTATGTTTAAACATAATTTTTCACCACATTCGGTCCCGATTTGAAACAAGAGATGCACCGAGATAAAACAAAAACCATTCTTCTACAAAGGTTGGTTGGAGAAAGGTGTTTGGTCTGTTCCAACATGAAAAATGCTGGATTGTATACCTGGATTACTGAGCATGGACTTTGTTGTTTGGTCTGTTCTACACTTTATGAAAGAAAATGGCAACCTTTTATCATACGATGATTTTATAGAAGAATACACATTAAACTGTACTAAAATTAAATTTGAGAGCGTGTTAAAGTCCATTCCTCCTGCTGTAATGCAGATGATTAAAGGTATGATTACATATTTGAATGTTAATCCAAAGAAACTAAAATATAATTTTATCAGATAATATATTAACTTAATGAAATGTCTAGATATATGTATCCCCGTTTGTTATTTAGAATAATATTGTGTTAAAACACGATCTGATTCTGTCTCATTGTAGAAAATGTAGTTTTAGTTACATGCCTACAACTCCCAAAGTTCACGAACACAAGATGGCAGATGATATGGGTTGAGAGCTGGGTCACATGATGGAGTAGAGCTTCCCAGTCGTCAATGGTGGTGACTACTGGGAGGTGTGGCGGAGCTCTGAAGAAGATGGTGTTTCTGTTTACACTGGGGCCATTGTTTGTGTGACCGCATGGTGGAGTTACGTGGCTGGTGATCATATATATATATATATATATATATATATATATATATAAAATGTGATAATTTGTGTGTGTGTTCAAACAGTAAATATAACAATATATTGATCGGGTGGTTTTTAACAGACTTTTGGGCTGGAAAACTTTGACTCTATCTGGCAACACTGGACAGAACTGCAAGTGTCAGAAATGAAGATGTTGAGGTTCTTCTTAGGAGAGACGAGGATGGAGAAGATCAGGAATGAGATCATCAGAGGTACAGCACAGGTTGAACAACTGGGAGATAAAGTTAGAGAGGACACACTGAGATGGTTTGGACATGTCCAGAGGAGGGACAGTGGTTTGGACATGTCCAGAGGAGGGACGGTGGTTTGGACATGTCCAGAGGAGGGACGGCGGTTTGGACATGTCCAGAGGAGGGACGGCGGTTTGGACATGTCCAGAGGAGGGACGGAGGTTTGGACATGTCTAGAGGAGAGACAGCGGTTTGGACATGTCCAGAGGAAGGACAGCGGTTTGGACATGTCCAGAGGAGGGACAGCGGTTTGGACATGTCCAGAGGAGGGACAGCGGTTTGGACATGTCCAGAGGAGGGACAGCGGTTTGGACATGTCCAGAGGAGGGACAGTGGTATATTGGTAGAAGGATGTTAGAAATGCAACTGCCAGGAAAAAGACAAAGAGGAGACATATGGATGGAGTTAGAGGACATGGAGGTAGTTGGAGTGAGGACAGAGGACACAGAGGCAGGAGGACTTGCTATGCGACCCCTGAAGAGGGAAAAGCTGAAAGTAGTATTTATATTACTTTTATTATGTTTGTGTTTTTATTATTTGATGTATATTGTCTTTTTATATTGTGTTTGTGTTTTTATTATTTGACGGATATTGTCTTTTTATATTATGTTTGTGTATTTTATGTTTCTTCTGTGTTCTTGTGAAGCCGGCACTCTGAGCTTCTGAACAAAATGTTGATAAAAATTAATTAATATTTTTCAACTGTATTAAATCTTAACATTTTATTTATCTTGATAATAAGAAAAATAGATGTCCCACGTTTTTGTTTTGTTTTATGGTGGTGCTGTTGAAATGTTGTACCTTAATTTTTTATCGTTCAAAAGAAAATAAGAAACCTAATCAATGAGATCAATGTGCTCTGATCCCGGACTGGATCTCCAGAACCGCCCGGCTGACAGATCCCTGGTGCAGGTGGATCCTGGAGCCACTGGAGCACAGCCCGTCTTTGTTCGGTTCCTCCGACGTTACGCCAGGCTTTCACCGACGGATAACCGCACCATGGCTCTCCGTGGACGCTGGACGCGGTTCGGGACTCGGGACCAGGGTGACCGGACCCAGAGCCCTGCAGCGAGCCGGGCCGAGACCAGCTGAAGGAAACGCCTGGTCCAGGTTCGGACTCAACACCGGACGGGACGTCTCTGTGAACATCCTACAAGGTTCGTTTGGTTCCGCGGGATCACCTGGAGCCGTAAACAACCTTTGACGGAGGCTAACAGTTAGCTACCGGATAAACCTGCCACTGGGGCTCAAACCAGTAGGTCTCTTGTGCTGGTCCCAAGCCCGGGTACATGGTGAGGGTGGTGTCAGGAACAGGGTGAGGGTGGTGTCAGGAAGGGCATCCGATGTAAAACACTTCAGCCAAAACCATAACGCGAGTTCATCAAACAAGCGAATGACACCGGACCGGTCGAGGCCCGGGTTAACAGACCGCCACCGTTCACAAACCGTACAAGTGGAAATATTGCTGCTGTTAGTCAAAGAGCACGAGGAGGGAAACGTGTCAGGAGAAGAGGAAAGTGAAGAATGTAGGACTGAGGGTGGAAACTCTAAATGTGCGGACAATGACAGGCAAAGGTAGAGCTGGCTGACATGATGCTGAGAAGGAAGGTAAATGTTCTATGCGTCCAAGGGACCAAGTGGAAGAGCAGCAAGGCTCGCAGCACTGGAGCAGGGTTCAAACTGTTTTACCATGGTGTGGGTAGAAAAATAAATGGAGTAGGGGTGGTCCTGAAGGAGGAGTTGGCAAAGAATGTAGTAGAGGTGAAGAGAGTGTCGGATAGGGTGATGTGCCTGAAGAAAGAAGCAGAAGGTCTGATGCTAAATGTTGTCAGTGGTTATGCTTTGCGGATGTGATGTAGAGGAGAAAGATACATTTTGGAAAGATCTGGATGAAGTGATGGAGAGTGTTCCCAGGGAGGAGAGAGTGGTGATCGGAGCAGACCTGAATGGACATGTTGGTGAAGGAAACAGAGGATGAGGAAGTGATGGGTAGCTTTGGTGTCAAGGAAAGAAACCAGGAAGGACAGATGGAAGTGGATTTTGCCAAGAGAATGGAAATGGCTGTAGTCAACACATATTTACAAAAGAAGGAGGAACATAGAGTGACCTATAAGAGTGGAGGAAGGAGTACGCAGGTCGACTACATTCTGTATAGAAGAGGAAACCCAAGGGAGATTGGGGACTGTAAGGTTGTGGCAGGGGAGAGCGTGGCCAGACAGCATCGGATGGTTGTGTGTAGAATAACTTGTTGTCAAGAAGAGAAAAAGAGTAAAATCTGAGAAGACCAAATGGTGGAAGATGAAGACGGAAGAATGTTGTGAGAAATTCAGAGAGGAGCTGTTAAAGGCTCAGGGGTGGTAAAATCAGACCTCTGCAATATCACTTGTGGAGTTCCTCAAGGCTCTGTACTTGGACCAAAGTTATTTATTTTATATGCGAATGACTTAGTGAATGTATCAGGACTCCTCAAATGTGTCCTTTTTGCAGATGACACCACATTTTTTTGTTTGGGTAAAGATGTAAAACGGATGTTGGAATTGATGAAGACAGAATTTGATAAAATACAAACTTGGTTTAAACTTAATAAATTATCATTAAATTTAGATAAAACTAAATACATGATATTTAGTAACAAAAAGAGAATTGTTGACGATCCATTTAAAATTGAGGGTGTTGAGATTTGTAGAGTTAATGAGATGAAATTTTTGGGTGTAATCATTGATGAACAGCTAACATGGAAAAATCACATCAATTCTGTAAGAACAAAAATATCTAAATCTATTGCAGTACTATACAAAGTCAGGGAATTATTAAATGATAAAGCTCTGTACATGTTGTATAACACAATCATTGTTCCACATTTAATCTATTGCATTGATGTTTGGGGGAAAGCGTGTAAAACATTTACAAAACCTATTTTTATTTTACAGAAAAGAGCTGTAAGAATTATCTCCAGAAAGCATTACTGTCACCATCAAGCACATTATTTTATCAGCTGAACTTATTGAAGTTCCATGATTTGGTAGATTACAGTATTTTATCAGTTATGTATAGGGCTCAAAATAACACATTACCATTAAATATCCAAAGAAATTTTGTTAAAAGACAAAGTTGTTACAATCTTAAGGGGATAGAGATATTTGTCAAACCAAAATTCAGAACTAGTCTGAAGGGAAGGTCTACCTCAATCCAAGGAGTTGGATTGTGGAATGTTCTAGAGAGTGATGTGAAAAATGTCAAGTCAATGTGTACATTTAAGAAAAAGATCAAAGCTGAATTGTTAAAAAAGTATATATGAAGTAGCTTATTGTGTTTTTGTATTAGAATTAGAAAAATTAGAAAGTTATTCATTTTGTTCTGTTACTTGAAGATTATTATGATTGAAATAATTGTTTGAAAAAAGGGGCAGATATAATAAGATTTTTTCTTCTTTCTGCTGCCTTTCATTTTAAATCTCTTGTATATTTTATATTGTTTATGGAATTGTTTTGTTTTGTTTATTAAAATGGATAAACTTTATACCATACAAAGAAAGAGCTTCCAGATGACTGGGCTACTACAGCAACAGTAATTAGAAAGATGGGTAGGAAGGAGCTTGGTGAGTCATCTGGACAGAGAATGGATGATATGGAAACCTGGTGGTGAAATAGTGAAGTGCAGGAAGCTATTGAAAGAAAGAAGTTAGCCAAGAAGAAATATGACAGTAAGAGGATTGAAGAGAAAAGACAGGAATATAAGGAGATGGGATGTAGATCAAAGAGGGAGGTGACAAAGGCAAAGCAGAAGGCGTATGATGAGGTGTATGGGAGGCTGGACACTAAAGAGGGCGAGAAGGACGTGTATCGATTGGCAAGACAGAGGAACCAGGCTGGAAAGGATGTGCAGCAGGTTAGATTTGTTAATGATAGGAACGGTAATGTTCTAACAAGTGAGGAGAGTGTGACGTGAAGATGGAAGGAGTACTTTGAGGAGCTAATGAATGAAGAGAATGAAAGAAAAAGAAGAGTAGAGGTCATAGAAACTGTGGACCAGGAAGTGGGAAAGATTAGTGAGGGTGAAGTCTGGAAAGCTCTGAAAAGAATGAAGAAGAGGTAGGCAGTAGGACCTGATGACCAGTTGAGGTTTGGAAATGTCTTGGAGAGATGGTAGTGAAGTTTTTGACTTAAATATTCAATGGCATATTTGAGGGTGAGAAAATGCCTGAGGAATGGAGAAGAAGTGTGATGGTGCCCATTTTTAAGAACAAGCGTGATGTACAGAGTTGTAGCAAAGTAAGAAGTACCGTATTTTCCGGTGGATACGTCGCACCGCCCTATAAGTCGCATCAGTCCATCCCACATAGCAGTCGACTCCATGGCGGATCCCGCCTTCTTCCGCTAAAAGTCTGCCGTACTGATGTACTGTTCCATCTGATGTACTGACCCATCCCCAAGCCGCTAAAGTCTGGCACTGACCGACCCCCTCCACTGTCAGAACAGCTGACAGCGTCGTTCGGATACACCCTCTTAGCGAATCTGCTCATCTGTGTGCTCTTTTTAAATAAAAGAATAAAGTCAAACAGTTATAGAAACAATAGAATCTGATCATCTCTTTTGTTCTTTTTAGGATGAGCCCGGTGGTTAATTTGAGCCGGATCCTGCCGGAACAAGATCCGCGAACTCTCTCATTTTGTCCGCTCGGATCCAGCAACTCAAATCTCTGCCCCTAAAAGTCCAAAGTCATCGCCCATTTTTATTGTGATTATTTATTAAATATACAACGAGAGGAGACGTTGCCCAGTCTGTGGAGTGGATGTTCTGGCCGCACCACGCTCCTGCCCAGCAGAGACGTGGACTACATGTCCCGCGAGGAGCGTCTTCATCCACCTTCAGCTGTGCGCCCTGAAACAATTGTTTTACACACAGCGTCTCCAGACAACTCTGTAGGACGGGGTTAGGACGCTTGACAGAATCGGAGCTGCATTCATACACAGGCTTGCTAATTGTTGTTGCTCTCTAAAATAGTAATTTCAATTCAACCTTTATTTATACAAGTTGTTAGTCTCATTGAGCCTCGTCATTTACAAGAGAACTGTACACTGTAGAGTGTGTTCCAACTACAGGGGGATCACGCTCTTAAGCCTCCATGGTAAGGTCTATTTTTGGGGTTCTGGAGAGGAGGGTCCGTCGGATAGTCAAACCTCAGATTCAGGAGGAGCAGTGCGGTTTTTGTCCTGGTCGTGGAACACTGGACCAGCTCTACACTTTCAGCAGGGTCCTGGAGGATGCGTTCGACCGCGTCCCTTGGGGAACCCTGTCGGGGGTACTCTGGGAGTTGGAGTACCAGGCCCTTTGATACGGACTGTTAGGCCCCTGTATGACCAGTGTCAGAGCCTGGTCCGCATTGCTGGCAGTAAGTCGGGCTTGTTCCCAGTGAGAGTTGGACTCCGCCAAGGTTGCCCTTTGTCCCCGATTCTGTTCATAACTTTTATGGACACAGCCAAGGTCTTGAGGGGATCCGTTTTGGTGGCCTTAGGATTGCGTCTCTGCTTTTTGCAGATGATGTGGTCCTATTGGCTTCATCAGATCGTGATCTACATCTTTCGCTGGAGCGGTTTGCAGCCGAGTGCGACACGGCCGGGATGAATTCAATTCAATTCAAAAATACTTTATTAATCCCAAAGGGAAATTATTTGTTGTTGTAACTCGTTATCCTCATTTCATTGAGATGTTTTAGATGCTGATGGCTGTAGGCAGGAAGGATCTCTTGTAAAGGTCCATCCCACAATGGATCCTAAGAAACTGGCTGCAGATGCCGTCCGATCCATCCACCCAGACTCTGCTGGCCTCTCGGTTCCTCCGGGCTGCAGGACCGCCCGAATGCCGGGCAGAACTCCTCCCAGAGTGATGGCCACTCCTCCCAGCAGCCTGCTGAGCTCCTCGTCACTGTGGACAGCCAACTGTAGGCGCCGAGAGACGATCCTGTCCTTCTGCTGTCATGAGCCGTGTTTCCTGCTAGTTCCAGGATCTCAGTGGTCAGGCACTCAAGCACAGCTGGCAGGTAGATGAGAATGCGTCCACAGAACATCCTTTTCAACTCATTTGAGATTTGGGGCTGTAGTTGAGATATTATTTGAGTGTTTCAGATGTTAATCAGCTGTTGTTGTAGAAAACTGCCTTGTTGCCATGGTTACGCATCATAACAAATGTCCAAAACCAAAAAAAGTTTCAGTAAAAATCCTTCCGGCTGCACAGCATCTGATACCAGAGGAAACAATCATCCAAAAAGTGTGATTTATATCCAGAAAACCAGGAATTAAAGTTTCCAAAAGCAAAATCTCAGAATGAAAGTAACAGAGCTGCTCCAACATGCAGCCACCTGGAGCGGCGCAGTTCTAGAACAGTTTAGAAGATCAGTTCCTCCAAATCCGAGACCATGGTCTTGAGCCGGAAAAGGGTAGAGTGCCCTCTCCGGGTCAGGGAGGAGGTCCTGCCCCAAGTGGAGGAGTTCAAGTATCTTGGGGTCTTGTTCACGAATGAGGGAAAAATGGAGCGTGAGATCGATAGGTGGATAGGTGCAGCGTCTGCAGTGAAGCGGGCGCTGTACAGATCTGTCATGGTGAAGAGAGAGCTGAGTCAAAAGGCGAAGCTCTCAATTTACCGATTGATCTACGTTCCTACCCTCATCCATGGTCATGAGCTTTGGGTTGTGACCGAGAAAGAATGAGATCTCTGATACAAGCGGTCAAAATGAGTTTTCTCCGCAGGGTGTCTGGACTCTCCCTTAGAGATACGGTGAGAAGCTCGATCATCCGGGAGGGACTCAGAGTAGAACCGCTGCTTCTCCACATTGAGAGGAGCCAGTGGAGGTGGCTCAGGCATCTGGTTAGGATGCCTCCTGGACGCCTCCCTGGTGAGGTGTTCCAGACACGTCCCACTGGGAGGAGGCCCAGAGGAAGACCCAGGACACGCTGGAGGGACTATGTTTCTCTGCTGGCCTGGGAACGCCTCGGGATTCCCCCGGAGGAGCTGTATCAAGTGGCTGGGGAGAGGGAAGTCTGGGCCTCCCTACTTAGGCTGCTACCCCCACGACCTGATCCCGGATAAGCGGAAGAAAATGGATGGATGGATGGATGGAAGTTGTTAGTTTCATTGAGCCTCGTCATTTACAAGAGAGCTGTTTTTAATCAATTTAATCAAATGATTACAGATGTTTAACAACCTGTTAAAATACAACAAATGCAGGAAATGGCATCTTTTTTATTCCAAATTTTCAGGGGGCGGACCCACGTATACCCCCCACCCACCCCATCACATGTGCCTATATTAATACCAAGTCAACAGCTTTGAGTATTCTGTAATAACAAACTAATAAGAAAAGACTTTTGTTAAATTAAAAATGTCTCGTTTTGTACTTAAATTTTTGAGTTCTGTTTAACTTTTCCAGGGTTAAACAAGTGAAAACTTAAGTCTTGATAAATGAAAAGTTTTGAGTGTATATAACTAAAAACTTTAAATGGTGATTAGTATATATTGAGTTGACTTGATGAACAATTTTAATTAAACTGGAATCAAAATGTAGAAGTAGCAATAAAGGAAATGTAAGTTTTGAAAACTTGTAATTTTAAGTTTATCAACTCAAAATATTTGTGGCAATTGATTGCCTCAAAATGTTCGAGTTCTGGAAACTTATTTGGGTTTACAGTGTACAGGGAGAACATTCAACATGCAGAAAGACCCCTGGCTGGGATTCTAACAATTCTGCAACAGTGCTACCACCTGCGCCACTGTGCAGCCTCAAAACTGTAAATTTACTCATAATAACCCAATTTTAGGTCATTTGCGGCTTCAAAAATCATTTTCAGGTGTATAAGGTTAAACTGGTGGGATTTTTATGGAGTCTTTTGTAGCTGGTAAGCCAAGTTTTATTTGTATCTACTTTTGTTAATTAAATCATGGTAAATAAAGGTTCTGAACTAAATGAGCCCACCTCCAATATGAATATCATAAATGGGTCAAAACTGGATCCAGGCCGGATGATAACCGGATCCGGGCCGGATGATGTGTTCTTGAACGGATCCAAAATGGACCCGGGCCGGATGTGGCACTTAATGAGTGGTTCCGAATAGGGTCCGGGCCAGATCTGATCCGGATCCGTGATCCTTATCTGTTCCGAATCCGTTCCAGTGTGCAAGTGGACTCCGATCCGGGTCCATTTAGATCTGGAACGGATCCGGTCCAGAGTCCATTTGCTATCTGGGATATTTGTCTAATAAAGTGGAAAAATCCATAAATATGTCGCTTCGCCGTATGCGTCGCATCTATTATGCGTCACCGCTGACGCGTCGCGCTTGTTAGGCGTCACCGCTGACAACCCGGAAATGTGGACCATGTTGTGCCAAAAACCGATGGGCTGCCAAATGGCAGCCGCAGGAGCATGCACGGGAGGACTTTAACAAGAATTTAACAAGATTAACAGTTAAAAATAATTATTTGTTTGCTCGAAATTATAGTAAAGGTGTGTCAGTTGCATTCTACAGAAGGATGAACTCAAAAGCATTAAACATATTTTACACTGATCATCATGTCTTTTGAAATACTTTCCCTAAACTGTTGTAAGGTGATAAAGGTGAAAGTGAGGATGCTCTTCTATAAACACTAACATGAACTCACACTTTGTGTGCAGGCGCTTGGGTTCTGATATGAACGGGAAGGTGAAAGCTGCTCCTGCTGCTGTGAAGATCAGTTACTCCAAAAGTGCTAGTATGGTGTCAGATCTGTCTTCAGAAGCCCAAACTTGTTCTAGGGTGAGCTCACACACACACACACGTGAACACATGCACACAAGAACACGTGCGCGTGCCCACACACAAAATACATGTTGAGGAACAGAGAGCTGGTTTACCTAATAATAAACTGTATATTAATTAGAGAATTTGCATTTCTTGTGAAAGTGCAAGTGTAAATGCCTCTTGCTAATGAATGTCAAGAAAACAGTTGAAAAGTAGCTTAAAATAGCAGAAAGAAACTTCAAATATCAGAAGGAAGCAGAACATGCACAACTGTTCCTAATGGAAAGGACTGCCAGGCTGCTGCCAATGCAAACTGTTGATCTGACACTACTTTGTGTTTGGGTCTGCTCTCAGCTACCACTACACCAAATTTCATCTGACTAGCTCTAAAAATGCCAGAGTTATTGTATTTTTTGCCTTTTTAGCTAAGGCGTCCATCTTGGATTTTTGACTTGGATGCAGTATGTGATAGGGAACGTTCTCAGCTGTAACCTCACCAAATTTCAGCTCTGTATGTATAAAAATGGCTGAATTAAATCCATTCAAATGTAGTGTTGGTGGCCATCTTGGATTTTTGATTTTCATGCAGCATTTGATGGGAGTTATTGTCAGCTATCATCACATCAACTTTCATTTCAAAATGACTAACATTTGCTGATTTAGAGGATTTTCCTTTTTTGCTAAGGCAGCCTTCTTTGATTTTTGATTTTCACGCAGAGTCTATTAGGGATCGTTGTCAGCTAACAATGCGCCAAATTTCAGCTGAATAACTCTAAAAATAGAAGAGTTAAAATAGTTTTTCTACAAAACAGCTGAATAGAAGCTAAAGCAATGTAGAATGGTAAATGGACTGTACTTATATAGCGCCTTTCTATTAGCACTTTACACTACAATCTGTGTCCTCATTTACCCATTCATACAGCTCTATACTAGATCTCTACAAAGCTAATTGAACAAATCATTATAAAGAGACTAATCAGTGCTTTTATCAGAAAGAAGTAGAAAGAAGCTTAAATTTTAGAAGAAGCTTAGGGTGCATTCACACCAGCCCTGTTTAGTCCGCTTTAATCAAACTCTAGCTCGTTTTCCTTGAAAGTCCGGTTCGTTTGGGGAGGTGTGAACGCGCCATCGAACTCTGTCACAGAACAAAAAGGTGAACTCTGGCCCGGGCTAAAACCTAGGTCTCGGTCCGGTAGAAGAAAACTCCAGCGCGGTTCGAGTACAGTGTGAATGTAAACAGACCGAGCCCCGCTCCACAAGCAAGAAGTGGAGTACAGCGCAGGACAAACAAACATTTATCTTATATGGAGCCGTCAGCTGCCTTGTGTGAAAAACTATTCTCCATGGTCTTCTGTCTCATCTTCTGCTCATGCTGAGTCCATTTTTGAAAAATGACAAAATATAACTCCTAAAACTGCTAAAACATGATGCCACTTCGTTTTTATTTTTATTTACAGAAGAAGAAGAAGACGTGTCTTCAGAGGTTTTTGTGTCGTTTCTTTCAGTAGTTCTTGGTGCAGCGCCCCCACAGGTGAGCGGGGGAACAGGTTGGTTCAACAGGTTGGCTCGACTGCACAGTGCAGTGTGAATGCAAACGCACCAGCTCAAATGTAACAAAAGCTCATGAACATTGGTCCCGAACCGAGTCTACCGGACTGTCAGCTGTGAAAATGACCTTAAAGAACACCTGGAGATCTGGTGCAAAGAGAACAACCTTCACATCAATGTGAAGAAAACAAAGGAGATGATTGTGGACTTCAGAAGGAACAAACACACCTACACCCCCCTGAACATAAGAGGATCTGCGGTGGAAGTGGTCTCCAGCTACAAGTACCAGGATCACAGGAACAGCCCATGGTGTCTGTAGTTTGGTAATCATCATGTGCTGGTACAGGTTTTTGCTAGGTGCTGACTGTGACCAGCTTCTATCATACCCTTGTTTGTTGGTCTTAGGTGCGTGTCACCCCAGATTTGGCAACCTAAATAAATAGTTTTATAATCTGAATGACCACCACAGCTTAAAACTCCAGGACAACTGGGGGCGCGAATGACTCAAGAAAAGTGTCTGACATCACATGCATCATCAGAAATGATGAGTCAAATATGTTCTCAATCAAATCATATTCCCTGCTTATGCTGGCGAGATATTCTATGATGCTGTTTGGTTTCCTTTTCTTGTTTCTTCCTATTGATGGATGTACGAGGCTCAGTGGGAGCCAGTCATCCGGTGCTGACTGGGTCTTGGTTGCTTGTTTGAGAGACCTGTGATGTGTTCTTCACTTGAACCTGGAGCTGGACAGCTAATCTGCCTGCTAATGTTGCCATGTTCACTGTGAGAGCATGAGTTAACAAGAACAGATTTTTTTTCCATCTTTATTTTAGATGTTTTGGCCTCACCTTAATAAAGAACACCCTTTCAGTAAAGCTTTTCCTCTGTCTATGCTTACATGCAGATGTTTCGTACTCCCAGAAAGGTAGCTGTATTTGGGAAGCGCTCCCGCTCCATGAGAAGGAATCTCAAAGCAGAGATTACCAAAAAGGGATGGCTCTATAAGCAGGTACAATCTGTGTTCTCTCTTACTATAAACTTCACTTTTTTTGTCCAGACGATATGTTAATGTCTGATTTTTAAAGAATTATTTAACATAAACTGTATTTTATTGGTCTCCAGCCTTTGAAGAGGCTCTGCATTTTACAAGGAAACTAAAATGTTGGAACTGTTTCTGTTTTATTGCTTGAAAAATAAATGTGGTTATAAACCCATAACTACTACAGTGATGAGGACTTCATTTTGAGTTTGCATATGATTATTACTCATTTATGTCTTCATTTGTTTTCTGAACATAAAATGTAAATGAAAAAGGATGGGTGTGTTGGCTACCATCATTTTGCTCTATTCTTGAGCTGATGTATGGAACAAAAAAGCTGAACATTACCAAAGGGCATGGCTCTAGTGATTTTTTAAATTATTATTTTTTTTTTGTGAAAAGATCATCAGGCACTACAGTTTTTTTTATCCGGTCTTAACAATGTTGCAACTAAGAACCTGGTGCAAATGCAGTTTAGTGCTGGAAGCACAAAATAACTGATGTGCCTAATCATGAGTGGAAAGGAGACAAAGAAACATATTTTTTAATGATCAATCTGCTATGTGTTTTTTATCCCACTACAGTGTAAAAGAGAGTTTAACAATGAGCTGTAGATCAGTTTGAGTTGATGAATATGTAATGTGTGTTCCTACAGGCCAGCAGTGGAGTGAAACAGTGGAATAAAAGGTGGTTTGTGCTCACTGACAGATGTCTCTTCTACTACAAAGGTATGAGCTTTGGGGTGCATTCACACCAGCCCTGTTTAATCCGCTTTAATCGAACTCTAGCTCGTTTTCCTAGGAAGTCCGGTTCGTTTAGGGAGGTGTGAACGCACCATGGAACTCTGTCACAGAACAAAAAGGTGAACTCTGGCCCGGGCTAAAACCGAGGTCTCAGTCCGGTAGAAGAAAACTCCAGCGCGGTTCGAGTACAGTGTGAATGTAAACAGACCGGGCCCCGCTCCACAAGCAAGAAGTGGAGTACAGCGCAGGGCAAACAAACATTGCTCTTACCTTAAATGGAGCCGTCAGCTGCCTTGTGTGAAAAACAATATTCTCCATGGTCTTCTGTCTCATCTTCTGCTCATGC